GACTCGATCATTCATACCTACTTCCTTACCTAAATTCTAATTTCGGGACGAAATTCCCTTAACAGGGGGATGATGTGACAACCCGAAATTTCCATTCGGTCAAACCCTAAAAGTCAACTGCTTCGTAGCATAAGTCAATGTAATTATTTCTTATTTCTTTTAAGAAATATAAAATTATTTTGATTATTTTAATATTATTTTAAGCGAACGGGTGTAAGAAAGTGTCGTCTCGGGTTTTGATTTTTGAAAACCACAAACACTTCGCGTATGAGAAACACCCGACCAAACTTTTATGTTTGGGTCGAAAAATCATCCAAAAATCCGTAAGCTTATGCTTATACATGAGTTTACTCCCCATTTGTGTTTACTCCCCATTTATCAAAAGATTAAACTCCAAAAATATTCTCTCAAGTATCATCCAAGATTTAATTCCAAATCTTCAATCTTGTAAGTGTTTTAACCCTTTCAAGTTAGTAAGACACTTAATCTAGTGTTTGTGCATCTATTCATCCATTCATTTCCGGTTTTTGTTTAGATTTTCCAAAACACCAAGAACACACACTAAGTGTTCTTGGCCTTTTAGCTCAATTCAAGCTTCCTTATGTAAGTACTTTTATCCTAGAGTCATTTAAAGCTAGCTATGCATGTTTATACCAAGGAAATTTGTCAAGAACACAAGTGTATGAGTGTTCACGGTCCAAGGAGATGCTTGGACCGTAAAAACCATAAAGAGGCACCAAAGTGTGCCTATGTCCCAAATCTAAGCCCTAGTTGATGTATAGAACACCCTTGACATGTTTAAACCCTTCCTTCTTGTGTTTAAGCCTTGAAAAAGCACCAAAATCCCCAATTTTATGTGTTTACGGTTTAGGGATGTCCCAAAACCGTAAACACCCCAAAAAGTGGGTAAATGTCCATTTAAAGTCCCATAGTTGGTTCTTATGGCTAAATCTAACCTAGACTAGGGCCATGATTGAACTAAGGACTTGAAAACCCCAGATACCATAAACTTAGGAGTTTCAGGTAGTAAACACATGAGTTTAAGGTAGTAAACTCATGAGAAATAGTCCGTAGAATGTAAACTCCATTGAGGAGTGTTTTGATGCCACACAACACTTCCTAAGGCTAATTCGTGAAGTAGGAATGCTTGGAATAGCCTAGAAGACTTCAAATCACCAAATGGTCAAAAGATTGGGAGTTTACGGTCGTAAACTCAAGAGTTTACGACCGTAAACTCAAGGGGTGTTGATCCTTAGGGAGTAAACTCATTTTAAGAGTTACCCATGGACCCCAAACACACTAGCCTTTCCCTATAACACCTAGATGCAACCTTTGAGATTTTTGACACTTGTATAAAGTGTTTAACATGTCCTAGAGTTTTTTAACTTTGTTTATTAGTTGTTTAAAGACTAATTGAGTATATACATATATCCTTATATGTTATTAGGATCCTTGTGTGTGCCTAAGTCTTCACTTGACACCAAGTACTTATCCGACACTTTTTTCCGATCCACTTAGCACAGGTGAGTTCATACCCCTTAAATAATGTTTTAAACTACTTTTAAATTTTTTATGGGGGGGGGGGGGTACAAGTAGAATCATACTAGTTATTATATCAATCACACGTTATTAATAGGTAAAATTACGCTAGTTATTATATCAATCACATGTGATTAATATGTAACATTCAAATGATTTACTACACATTAACCGTTTTTCCAAACAGTTTTCTTCAAATGATTTTTATAAACATTTTATATGTTTTAAACTCTTTATTACACTGTACATTTTACTCTATATATTACATTTCAAACTTATTTACAATTGTGTTTCAAATAAATGTTACTTTGTACTAAACTGTTTTATCAAACCCATGCCTTCAAACTGTTTTAATGAATGACATCAAGTCGATCTTTTCTTAAGATAATAATTATTTTCAAAGGTTTTACAAAACTTACTTTATGCTTTTATATTATAAATTGCATGCGTATATATGTATATTTATATGAGTAATGTTTAAAAGAGTTAGGAAGGCTATCCACCCTATTTCCTTTTCGCGCTTGAGATGTGGTCTGGTGGGATATCGGGTACCCGTCCGAAGGTCGTTTAAATATTAGTTATATATCATGTGTACATATGTAGTCATAAAGGTTCTTCCAGTTCAATCATTACCCTTGTGTAGCAAGGGTATAATCCATGTCCATACATACTAGTTAGATTACTAGTAAACTACCATAGGGGTAGTTTAGGAAGATACTAGAACTATTACTAGAACACAATATCATACTATGAGTCAGTTCATTCATGAGTCAATACTTACTACTATGAGAACATATACAACAATACTAGAGAGGAACATATACGACTATACTAGAGAAGAACATATACAACTATACTAGAGAAGAACATATACAACGATACTTGAACGAGTACATTACTATACATGCTAGATAGAGAGAGATCACACTTTACGGCTAGCATACGTGGAACATTATAGTACATTACTATACTATTACATAGATATGTTTACATGATCACATGTACATGAGTACACTTACAGGAATTACTAGTACATTTTATATGTATAGATTCTGTTATATAATCCTCATTCTTATCTTTACCTTGAGATTGAATCACACAATCGACGAGATAGATTCTGTTAGCTACAAAGGTAAAAGCACATCCACGGATGTCAACGGTTGATACCATTACACGTATACTTTTGGGGACTGACTATTCCTATACCCAGCTGTTCGCAACAGAGGTAAATGTACATCTATGGATGTCTTCAGTTTACATTGTTATTTGCCCGAATACCAAAGGGTATTACTATTACAGTTAGGTCTTGGTAGAAGACTACATTCAGAACAGTTAGGTCTTGGTAGAAGACTACATTCATAACAGTTAGGTCTTGGTAGAAGACTACATTCAGAGCAGTTAAGTCTTGGTAGAAGACTCCTTTTGTTACTAGTAGGAATCATAGGGATTTCTAGGTCTTTTCAAACGTTTACAGTTGTTTTACAAACATGTTCATACTTACAATTCATATACATTTTCATACTTACAGTTCATTTACATTTTCGATACTTAGAATTCGTATACATACAAATACTTACATTTCAAATACATACAAGTATTTACATACAAATTAAGACACTAAAATACTTATGATTTCTCCAGCTTTAAAGCTGATACTCACTTTCAAAATTACTTGTATCCTCAGGTCATCATAGACAAGTACCGATGCAAGGAGAATGGAAGATGGAGCTTGTTCAAGACTTATCTTTCATTTTGATTTATGCTTTAGTGTTTATCAAAATTTGACAGAACACTTGCATAATAATTATATTATTAATGCAATGGATGATGTTGTTGCTTGTTTACTACTTTTCATTGTTGTGATACTGTACATGACGTCCTCCGCCCTAGAACGTTTCCGCCGTTCCTGGTTTTGGGGTGTGACATAAAGGGGATGATCAGTAGCACTTGGAAAAAAAGTGAACGTCAACAAATATATAACGGCAATAGGAAGAGTTGGATTTCATGGAAAGCATTCTTTAAGAATCTCATTCTCATAGATTTTCATTCTCATGTATTCTTCGAGAATGATTAAAATTATAGGTTTGTTTGGTGAAAATATTTTTGTTACTGGTTGCCTGTACATTCTCAAATGAGATAGACTTCATTATCACATAAATGTATTTGTTAATTTTTTTATCTATAATATAGAAGACACATTTTAAGAAGAATTGCATCCTCATTTGTATTACTTTTTAAATGATTGTTGAGAGAATATATCAATATTGCAATAAGAATGATTTTTTTATTCAAACTATTATTTTCGATAATATATGTTGTACTATACCATATTCTTAAAGAGTACACAAACAATAATAAACAAAAAAGAAATACAGGAACGAAGGTAGCACTCATTCTAAAAGAATATACTCCAATTGATGGTATTAATAAATTTAATAATGCTAAATGATGAAGTTATTCTTAAAGAATTTAAATATGTAGAATATATTATGTTGTATTCTTAAAGAATGCATGGATAATATTAAACTCCTCTTTTTACAAAAATTCAATGTGGTTGTGATCGGTTATTGAAAATCATTTAATACATTCCTTATTGAGAATTAATCAAAGTATAAATTATGCCTTTATAATAATTATTTTTGAGTTTTTATTAAGAAGAAATGTTTATGTGTGTTGTGTTTCATTGTAACTATGGTACACCATATAATCTTAGTCATATACACATCTAATCTAATGATCCAAAACTTGTCATACACTCACAAAATATAGAACATTCACATTTAATCCTAACCCTATACATATATATATATATATATATATATATATATATATATATATATATATATATATATATATATATATATATATATATACTAGCAAGGTTTAAAGGTCTGTGCTAAGCACGGCCCACGAAGTGGAATTTAGATATATTCCCAAACAACAATATTGAATTCAAGATGTGATGATGATATTTAACTTCATATATATTGAAAAAGTCCATGTTCCAGATTGTAGTACAGTAGTAGAATCACAACAGTGAATTCTATTTTTAACAAAAAGTGGGTTTTTGACAAAAAGTGTTAATTGATTTGTAACTTCCAAAAGAGGTGAAATTTTGAAGCGCTTTCATGTATGCAGTGTTGTCCGGTAGCAGCTTTGTCGATGTAGTTCATTCCATTCCATATCTACTTGGTGTTTTCAATACGCAAAAGATTAGGGATTCTTCTTGTAAAAGATTGGTGATTCTTCTTTGTTCCATTCCATATCTACATGTTTTTTCAAAACGCAAAAGATTGGTGATTCTTTTTGTAGGTTTGATTCTTATATAGTTCTTTTAGTCGGCCTTGGTGCACTAAGTGTTGAACCATGAACTTCCTTAAGTGGATGGAATTCTTAAGTGGATGGAATTCTGACTGGGACCGTTTCTGAGTCTATTGATTAGATGATGGTTTAAGTTCTTCTTATTTGATCTTGTGTCGCTTAAGAATGGTAGCAGGAGTAATTGTCACTCTTTCCTTCTCTTCTGGTTTATGTTGATAGGTTTCTTTAATATGAGTTATTGCGCCATCTGTTGAATCTACAATTTCCTTCAACGGTTGCACTTGTAATTGGGTGTTCTTCCGACTCTGTTCATAACATTCTGCCTTGATTGCTTCTTGTTCATTTGGGCGTGGCTTCAGAATGGTAGGTTGAGTAATGGTGGCTATTTCTTTATTATCTGGTTTGTGTTGATCAGTTTCTTGAGCACCACTTCCTTCGATAAGGTTGTTGTCTTTTGTTTTATGCGCCTTCACAATGACATATCTTGTTGTGGATTTTCTTTGGTGGGAGGTTGTGTACAAATGCAACAACTGATGATTTGTCAATGGATGATGAAATGATATTATAGACATTTGTTCCCTGTTTTTAGGTTGAGCAGTCAGTTCATATAGCAAAAGTTCAATCGAATATGTAATTAAAAAGTTGTGGGAAACTTATCCTTACTTTCTCTTCTGCATCCTTAACTTCTTGAGGAGTGAACTGGATAAACTTTTCAAGATCGGGACTTGCTATGCTTGTGCGGATGGATGCGGTTCCATCATTGATTTCAACTATAGCTCTTGACCTGTCCATACAACTATGTTGTTGTAAAATTCTTATTTGTGTTTGGTTATAGTTTATGGTAAAATTTGACTTACCTTATCTCAACCTCTGATTCTTTCATTTCATAATGGCTGTTTTCCTATACTCTTTTTTAGCCATAAAAGAACTGCATCCCCTCATGGTATTAAAAGTGATTACTATTACTGAAATTTGGAAGTTTTATGTCAGAGATCAACAGAAAGTACTAAAAAGACTTCATACATAGGAGAACATCTTCAGTATTTTTCACAAGTGAAAAACAACAATATTATAAAAAACTTCTAAAGAAAGTAATCAATACACAAAGCTTATAGAACTTGACACTTCCTTTAAAAAGCCTGAAACAGTCTCTCATTAAGTATAAGCAGAAAAACATAAAAAATGAACACACATTGGGCTTCTCATATTCCGTTGTTTGATACATAACCCTGCAAAGTAAGCACTACAAAAACAGGGAAAGATCAAAAAGAAGAATAAAATTAAAATAAAGTTATCGACATTAACAACAATGTAATTTGTTGTTTACATACCAAAGGAATAGTTTCTGGACTTGAAATGACACCTGATCTCAGCATAAAACCTTGGTGTTCCAATTATATGAAATCCTAAAAACAGAATTATTAAAACTAAATTCTAATAACATCCTAAAAACACAAATGGAAATATGTAAGAAAAAAAATTGTAAACATAACTTCTTCAGTTAATTTTCTGTTCTTATTGAAATGTTCTTTGTGTTTATGTTTTGTACATTATTTATAAATTGGGGGAATTATTATCGTCAAAGTAGTTGGCTAATGTCCTAAAAATCATGTCATGAAAAGGCAGAACGTATACCTTTGTTTAAGGTTTAACAATCACATAAGCAAATTGTAGCTCACTGTTCAGAAGCTTCAGAGTAAGGTTTATTATTTGATGAAATATGAAAATGAAAAGGCAAGAATGAGAGGCTTGACTTCAATGGTGAAAATTAATCTATCACCTACCATAAAGAAACATATAAAGAACGATAACATATAAGGCAGAGGGCAACATGCACGTATAAACATCTGATTAGAACATACAATATTAAAAAAAGAATGAAGCTATTATTTTTTCGCCATAAATAACAGTAATGGATCCGATGCAAATCATAAACATCAAAGATATTAAAAAAATCAAAGATATTAAAAAAATCAACGAAAATAAAAAATGATTTATTTTCATGATCGAGGACGCCCTTAGAACCCCTAACTGTGATGCATAATGAAACCAACCAAATAACGAGTGTTTTAGAAAGTTTCATATTTGACTTATAGTAAGCATGAATCAGAATATATGTTAATGATCTTTACCAAATACCAATAGGAACTTTATTACAATCTAAAATTAATTGTAAGAGAAACTAAGTCGGTTTAAATGGATGAAAGCTTTTGAGGTGTGGGTTTGCATATCTGTGACATGAGAGGATATCATATGTGTTTAATGCATTTAATGTAGAAGCCTACTACCTGTTATCAAAGGTTATGTTCAATATGCTGATCATAGGAAAACAGTGCATCAATATGACCAGATGAAGGTAGCCTCAATTTCGTGCTTCATATTTCATAAACCACATCAGTAAGAAGAAAGTGATAATAATCAATTAAAAATAAAACAAGAACCAAAAAAATGTTAAAAACAAAGAATGAAAGCGAGATGCAGGAGATGGTCCCAATGTATTGGGTATAAACAATTCTTTTTTGTTGACTGGTTTCATTGAGGCAATCCATCAAAAACTTGGTATGCATTTTGAATAGAGAGATGAAGTCAAAATTGAGAAGAAGTCAAGTTGGGGAATCTACCTTAACGCAAACTTTGTGAACTCTCCATCAATTTCATGCGCTTCTTTCCCATCAGCTTGACCACCATCAAAAATCAGGAATCGGTAAAAAACGAGATGAAATATACAAAATGAAAAACAAAAAAATGTCAGAATAGGTGAAGTTCAATATGATCCAAGAAGATAAAGATGACGGAGAACCATGAAATGGAGAGAGAGAGAGAGAGAGAGAGAGACGATGGTGTATATTTTATACTTACCTCTCATTCACCTCCTCTTTTAAGCCATAGTGAAGGATGAGTTGTCAACATTGCTGCAAAAATATAAATCGAAGATGAAAGAACATGAAATAGAATAAAATAAATAGAAATTGAAGATCATATAGAGATTTAATACATGAGGAATAGAAAGAGAAGAGAATTCGAAAGATTTTAAAAGTCAAGTCAATTTGAAAGTATGAATCGCTTTCTAGAGAGAGAGGAATAGGAACCGAAAAGAAATAAAGAGGCAGGGGGAGAAGGGGAGGAGTCGGAGATTTCTAGGCCTGTATTGGGAAAGACGAAAGAAGAGAAACCAGGTGTCCTTTTTCATGAAACGTGTCATCTTAAGATGATGAAGAGAGATGACTCATTTGGAAGAAGCTTGAATTTTTTTTTTCTAAAAATTTCCATCCCCACGCGCAGAAGAAGGAAAAAGAGAAACTCATACGCGCCAAAACAAAACTATGCGTGAGGAGCACGAACAAACCTCAATACAAAAAGCTTTTCGTATATAATAATGAGATATATATATATATATATATATATATATATATATTATATATATATATATATATATATATATATATATAATATATTATAACAGAATACAAATATATATTTAGGTAAATATAAATTTAGGAAGAATTATCATGAAATATATATATATATATATATATAATATATATATATATATATATATATATATTATATTATATATATAGGGCTTAGGAAATATGTGGTTGTCATGTACCTAATATTAGGTATAAAATCATAAAAAACCACATAGTTTTAACAAAATGCAATCAAATCTCTCGACCGTCTTTCTTCTATCCTATATTAGATAAGATTATAGGCTTTGTACATATTTTTATGGAGTTTAAAATATTTAATTTTGCACCACAAACCATGTATAAGAATACATTATCAAGTACTTAAAAGCCTTCATATTCAAATTTCATATAGAAAACAATAATGAAAGCTTGAAATTGTTCATTAAAAACTCAATAAATTTTTTCTTTATAACACATCAAAAAGAACCATGCAAGTATACATATGGTAGGTATCAAAGAAAGCTATGAAGCCTACTAGAGTTCTAATATAAACAACACATTTGAAATATATAGATATTGTGATTAAATTATGAAATTAGAAATAATATGAACTCAAAAGTAATAGGAAGAATCTAACAATAAAAAAATTGTGTTCTTTTAACAAAAATGAAATCAATTTTAATGGTTCTATATCTAATATTATATACATCACAGGCAGATATTCATTTTTCCCATATATATATATATATATATATATATATATATATATATATATATATATATGATGTTTTCAATTGATATTTATAAAAGGGGTATAATACTCAATTAAAAAAATAAGAATTTAAAGTCGATATAAAATATTTAAAAATGTTCAAAATAAAGATTTGGACAAATTTGATATTTTGAAAACTTGTGAAGGGTAAATATGATATTTCAAAATTAGATTGGACAAATATGATATTTCTATGTTTAAGAAGGGTATATACGAAATTCTTCCTTTACAAAATTAGATTGGACAAGTTGAGTAGGAAATAGAGAGCCATGGTGGAAGCGTGAATAAGAATAGCCACATGATTGACCTACATAGCGCTTGAAAAGTATATATCGAATGAAGTAAGAATTTAGTTTGAAGGGTAATTTACCTGTTCGTCTTAATAGTATGGAATAAGGTGGTGGAGGATACATAGATCCAAAACGATCCAAAACAGAGAGGGAAATGTGTGGTAAAAAGATCAGACCGACAAAAATCAAAGCCCGAAGTCGACTTTGCAGCCAAGAGTTGATGAACAATATTCGAGCCGAGTACCCATAGTAAACCATGCGCAAAACTAATCGTATATATAATAATAACATTTTAAATAAAATGCATTTATTAAATAAAA